TGTATTTTTAAATAATGATTATTATAATTTTAAAAATTATGAATAATTATAAATTGTAGTACACATAATCGATGCATATTAAATTTATAATGCTTATATTAACTTAAAAAAATCAATTTCAAAAGTATAAAATAAATTCTAAATGAACCACCTTAACTTAAGCAGTAAGTAAGAGCACTTCTTAAGAATCTAAGAATAAAGAAAAAGCCTATATGATGAACTTTGAAATGTTTTGATATTTTCTTTTTTAGAAGTCTAAACTATCAAAAATTTGTAAAAGTAGTAAAGTAAGAGCCTTATAGCTTTCAAGACGGTCATAACAATTCTAATATAACTGGGAAGAGAGAGATAGAGAAATTAAGGTAAAAATGTATATAATAATAAATAAAGATTCAAGAAATGATTAAGAAAGGATAATATTAAAGAAATAGAAATAAGAAGAGAAACATTAATAAAAAGCAAATTATTAATATATAAAATGAAAATAATGATGAATGTAGAATAGATAAATAAATATAAATATAAAATGTAAGACAAAAAGCTAAAAGAAAGAGTTTTAAAAAAATTAATAAAAGTTTAAGTATAGGTAAGTGGAAAAGTAGCAAAAGTAAAAATTGGTGTAACAAAAAGAAATATATTTTGATAGATAAAGATTTAAAAATATAATTAAAAAGGAATAATAGAAATGAGATGATAATAAAATAATAATAATAACAAATAAATTATTAATATTATATTTTCAAAAAAGTTACAATGCACTTGCCAAGGGAACTTGCGAACGGAACGGTCGGAATAGTATAAAAGAAAAACGAAAAAACAGGTGAGAGGGGAGAGGGGAGACACCAAAGGGACCAGAAGCTGACAAATTAATAATAAAACATAAAATTTTAATTATGGTACAGGTTTGTAGCTGTACCAAACTCAATCAACTACATTACTGCAATATTTAATAATAATAAAATACATTAGAATTTTTAAATTTTTTCCTCTTCGCATATAAATTTTCCAGTCTCAAAAAATTGAAACCGAAGTCTGTTATCTATCAATGTAGGATATCCAACTTAGGACGTTGTTGTTGAACTAGACTCATTGTGCATCCCTAAGTGCGTTGGTTAAAGTTGGACTACCTCTGGCAAAACAAAACAAAGCAGATTAAAGAAGATGCCACTGCTCATTGCTGAAGACGTCGAGAAGCTATGGGATACTTGGAATATCAGAGTCCTAATTATTCTAAGTCTCTTGGTGCAGTCTTTCCTAATTCTGTCTGCACAATTAAGAAAGCGAAGAGGTGGGAAATGGTTCATCATGATTCCACTCTGGATAGCATACCTACTTGCAGATTGGGTGGCTACATTCACTATTGGACTCATGTTGCGTGCTGAACGTAGTGACATCGTAGCCTTTTGGGCACCCTTTCTTTTGTTGCATCTCGGTGGCCCTGACACCATTACTTCCTTCTCTCTGGAGGACAATGAATTCTGGATTAGGCACTTGCTTGGGCTCATATTACAAGTTGGTTCGACTATCTATGTTATCCTTCAGTCACTCCCAGATAACAAACTTTGGCTGCCAACTCTCCTAGTTTTAATTGCAGGGGTAATCAAATATGCTGAGCGCAACCGTGCCTTTTATCTCGCAAGCTTTGACCATTTCGGGAATAATTGGGCATGTCCATCATGTAGTCTATACCATGCAACGTCTCCCGTTTCAGTATGGCCTCATGATGCACTATTGCCTCCCATTCCAGTACGACTTAAACAAGCTCATCAGTCGTGGTTTAAACGGTTTTTGCCACAGTCTGAGTTGTGTCCGATTGTTGTTAAGGCAGCTTCTACGGTTGGCACTATCAAGAGCTTACTTGTAGGTCCTCCCATGACTACAGAAGAACTGATGAGTCTTCGTTGTTTTATGGGAAAAAGAAATTCAGGCGAGAGGCTTCGTATCATAGAGATCCAATTAAGCCTCTTGTACGAGCTCTTTCATACCAAGTTGCCCGTAGTTGATTCCAAGACTGGTTATATTTGCCGCACCGTCAACTTTGGTTGCATCTTGGGAGCCTTGGTGTCATTCTCAATATTACTTAAGAAGTACTACCATAATAAGTTGGGGGAGTTTGACATCTGCCTGACATATGGGTTGCTGATCGGGGCTTTGGCATTGGATTTGATATCCATCTGGTTACTCATGTCCTCTGATTGGATTATTGTTAGGCAGTTACTCATGCCCTCTGGTTGGATTGGTGTTACGGAGTACTCTGACAAAAAGAATTATGATAAATTCATTGATAAGCGCAGGTGGTCAAACTCAGTTCCTCAATTAAATATTTTTTATTGTCGTTTCAAGAATAAAGATGGAGATTATCCAAACAAATTGGTTGATTTTCTTGGCACAAGGTTTGAGACTATAAGAAGAAGAATCCAGTGCGTGTTCCTTGAAAATTTTGTAGAAGAACAAGCTTGGAAGCTCATTTTTACAATGCTACGAGAAAAGGATATTGGCGAGGCTGGCAAGGAAATCTTTGGTCCATCTAGAATTCTTACGGTTCATATTACCGACTTCGCTTGGACCCTCGACAGGTTTGAGTACATGGAAAGCCTCCTGATATGGCACATAGCTACTGAAATATGCTACCGAAAGGTATGTCCAGATAACAGCTCCAGCAGTTCTACATCAACTTCTAATGATTGTTTCGATCACCGAAAAATATGTAAGTTGATTTCAGATTATATGTTTTACCTTTTGGTAATGGAGCCTACCATGACAGCCACCTCGCCTAACAATCTGAAGATAGTTTTTGAGGCCAAAGATGGAACATGGAAGTGGCCAAGTTATTGGAAGAAGGGATCCAAAGAAACATTCATTAAAGATCCACTGGATAAGCTATTGGAAGGCGAAGTGGAAAATGCTTATATAAATCAAGCTCTGTTGAAGAAAGATGTGGACAAGTTAGACTACCAAGAGAAGCCTGAAGTAGCTCGCTTTTCGAGGATAGCCGTTTCAGGTTTTCTTGCCAATGAGCTCCTCAATCAGCCCGGTGGTTGTCCGTGGAACTTAATGAGCAGGTTTTGGGTAGAACTATTATGCTATGCTGCTATTCATTGCCAACCCATTGTCCATGCACGACAAGTAAGCAGAGGCGGACAACTTCTCACCTTGGTTTGGTTGTTGATCAATTACTTGGGATTAACTCCTCCTTCAATGGATTTTTTTGGAGAGTAGCTGTCGGATCTTGCGATAGAAGAGATGACTAGACGGGTAGAGACAGCATCGCAAGCCATGTAATTTTTGAAAATTTGAAAACTCTTGGGGCACCGTGGCCCTCCTTGGCCTCTTCTATCCTCGTTCCTTAAGAAGGAACCCGTTCACAAGTTGGAGATCATCTCAGCCACAGAGCTACTTCATAAAATTGTCTGTCAAATATAATTCCAAAGTGTTCTTTTTTTCTTTTTCTTTTTTTATTTTGACTTCGTGTTTAATTTGGAAATTTCCTGTTCATTTATTTAGTACTACATTGTATTCTATTTATAATTATGTTGTGTGTTGCTATTTGAAAACTTGTATTTGAATTCTAAATAATAATATATATGTATATATTATCATGCGTGATATTATAATAACCTATGGAGTCCAGGACAAAGGGTACCTGTAACTTTTATGTTTTATCTGTCAGAAATAACATTGGATTTGACATACCGGCCTCTTCCCAGTCCAAATGGCTGAGTGTTTGTCTACAAACACTCGAGTCATGGGTTCTGGGTTCGAAGGTCCGGTGAGCAGAACATTGGATCTGACATGGAAAAGTCGTACAGGTGATCGCAGCAATGGTACGGTAAAAATTGTCAATCGGTAGCTTCCATTGTAATTTGGCATTTACCATTCTGGGCTGTCACGCGGCATTGGTGTAGAGGCCCAATATTTGATTTACCTTTTGAGCCTCCAGTTTACTGCTGCACCGGCCGTTCGGTCCATTTTTACTCCCTTTTTTTTTTTTT